GGTGGTTCTCCTTTCCGGTGATTTTGATTGGGGCAGGGGGGGGGGGGGGGGGGGTACTCATAGTCGTGCATGCCGAAGTCGTTTGACCATAGACCTCGCGGGAGGTAAAAAAGAATTAAACGGAACCGAGCGGCGAGCAAGCAGCCATCCGAACGTACCCGCGTAACCCGACCACCAACGAGACCCCCCACGCAAAAGAACCACCATATATGCCGATGGACGGATGCATACCTTGTTGACGTCATCGTGGTGGATCTGCTGACCGCGGGCGGGGGAGACGCTGCGGGGTCTCTCTTGGTCGGACCGTTGTTGTTGCTGCTGCTGTTGCTGCTGCTGCTGCTGCTGAGGCTGAGGCAGAGGCTGAGAATGTCCGCCGTCATGTCGGGTGTTGCCAGGGTAGTCCTGAGGGAGGCCGTCGTCGTGCGTGTCACCGAGCGAAGACAAGACAGCAGTAGAATAGTTGGTTAGCGAAACAAGAGTAGATGCGGCACATACATTCAGAGGTGATACTAACGACATTCATGCAGAAAGAGCATACATACCTTGTGAGGGTGTGATCCTCGAAATACCAACTTGGTCGATTTTGCTCGATGTTTTGCAAACCCCTACGCTTGCGCTGCTCGAATTCAATCTCATCGCTTCGTGCTTGCGTCATCTACGCAACCCCCGCGCGACCTCGTGCGAATTCCCGTCGATCACCAGCAGCTACATGTACGGCGTGCAGTTAGCTCCTTACGGCCACATCGGCTTTTGGGGACATTTTTGCCCCCATCTTCTACACCTGCTTTACCTCGAGAAGAATGGCATGGTTGTCTCCTCCTTTGAACTACTCGACAAGGGAAGGGGGGGGGGGGGGGACTCAAAGTCGTGCATGCCGTAATCCTTAAACCGTTGACCTCCCATCCCTTCAAAGCTGGGGCGGAGCACGCCGGGTTCTCACCGGACCAGGCTCTAAAATCACCAAGTGCAAAGCACCGTGATGTATTCGGCGAGTCGTATGGAGGGCGCGCTGGATCCTGCTAAAGGTGTTTGGCATCTTGTGCTTACTTCCTTGCGTATGAATGACAGCTGCGTATGACTTAATTTATTTTGTGGTGCTTGCACTTCCAGAAACAGTTGTAAGCACTGTGTACCTGCCTCGAGGGTGCTTGACCAATTTAACTCAACGTGGTGCGATTATCCCCTTGGCGGAGTGAGGGTTCTCGACCCCGCACAACATAATCTACTCGACCACCATTATGGTCACGCAAAAAAAAACAGGGGTAAAAAAAAACAGCGGTAACCTGGTTGCCGAGCTCACGAAGTGATCGACTTGTTTTACAACGTCGTTGCCAAGCGACGAAAACCCGACCCCGATAGCAAACACCGAGGGGGGGGGGATGCTCAAAGTCGTGCATGCCGTAGTCGCTAGACCGTTGACCTCGCATCCCTGCAAAGCCGGGACGGAGCACGCCGGGTTCTCACCGGACCAGGCTCTAAAATCACCAAGCGCGAAGCACCGTGATGTATTCGGCGAGTCGCATGGAGGGTGCGCTGGATCCTGCTAAAGGTGTTCGGCATCTTGTGCTTACTTCCTTGCGTATGAATGACAACTGCTAATGACTTAATTTATTTTGTGGTGCTTGCACTTCCAGAACGGTTGCAAGCACTGTGTACCTGCCTCGAAGGTGCTTGACCAATTTAACACAACGTGGTGCGATTATCCCCTTGGCGGAGTGAGGGTTCTCGACCCCGCACAACATAAATCTATTCGACAACCATTCATGGCTACCGCAAAAAGAAAAAACAGGGGTAAAAAAAATGCGGTAACCTGGTTGCCGAGCTCGCGAAGAATGGCATGGTTGTCTCCTCCTTTGAACTAATCGACAAGGGGGGGGGAGCGGGGTACACAGGGACAACTCTAGGCTAGTATGGATGATTTGTAGAGTGACGGAGTACGAGGATAATGACAGGTCCAATCGCGGGACGATCATGCCGCGGGTTCATCAGCGAGGTTGCGCCGCGTCTCTCTACCCTTGGGTGGAAAGAGCTACTACATGTAGGGGCAAGCGCAGAAGAAGCACCTAGCCCACCAATGAGTGGAGGCACCAGGCTACTTAGGGCTCGGCTTATAATGTCTCGTTTTCCCTCTAGAGCAATATCTTGAAAGCCTCCATTTCGGGCCCCGTTTACCACGCTCCCGCCCCCTATTATATAAATGCCCTATCAAATGTCCCTTCGAGGAAACACTTGATAGGGCGTTTAGACAAGAGATGGCTCACGTGGGAAGACAGCTTTGCGCTTGCACCCAGGGATGGAACTGTTTGCACCATCCAATCAGCAGGCGTCGTTCGCTCATTCTGTTTCACTTAGGCGGGACGGCTTGGCGGTGAAATTCCTGCCCACCCATAAGGCGTGTCGGTAATCGGGAGGTGAGGATGGTCAACAAAAACCAAATTGGGTTTAACATGATCGCCCAAACCGTATCAAATTGCATTTCCCTACCACCGTACAAAACAATTCCTCGCAAATATCGCAATTCCGGTGCTTTCGAGTCACCGCGCGGGCAACAATAAAATCCCATCTACTGCAGAGAAGAACGAAGTGACTTATCGTGCGCTACAGTAAATTACCGTGTGCCCCTCCATGCGAGCAGGCGACAACTCTGAACAAAAGACGTTGTCGGGTTCGAACCTCACTCCTCTCCTTTGTCTTGGACTTTGTTGTCTTTTTTTTCCTTTGGCACGAACAGTTCACTCCCGCGCGTTGATGAAAACCGTACTTTCAAAGACGAATCTAACATGACGGAGACATGTCAAGAGAACGTACGAGACAATGTCTACGTCTTTACGAACAAATGCAGAAAGTGAAAAGAAAGAGAGACACACACTTTGCTCGCCCCACTACAGATAGATGATACAATACGCAAGAGCAGGAGTTTCGTGGTTTTCTTCAGACGGAGGAAGTACTACGGATCCCCCTCGCCTACACTACATTAAAGCTACAGTTGCATACTGTAGTCAATAACGGATATTCGTAGCAAAACTCTGGGAAATGTAAGAACCCCAGCCCCGGCCAAAACTAGATGTTCGTAAGTGCGGGCGCGTTCTGTACTACTTCACGAACGAGCATCCATCCATCCGCCGCCGTTTCTTTGCATGCGAGACTTGGCGAGACACCTGAAAATAAATATTGATGGCGTCAAATGGGGGTGCTACGGGGGGGACGTCGGCGAAGAGGTGGACGAGGCTGATAATACATAGTATAGCAGCACCTCACACGTCGTCCTTGGACGACCGGAGGGAAGACCGTCGTTGCTCTCGTAGTTTGGTTGTCTCCACCATTCATTCTTCTTGTTACAGCTGGAGCGTGTGGCGCTTGGTAGGGAGAAGGTGCGGATATATTGCGCCGATCCGACTACGGAGACTCGTTGCGCGGCGGGGAAAAGAATGCAGTCCAGTGAACATCGGGCGCCGCTTTCGTGGTACAAGTATAGGCGTGAATATTTTTTCGTAGCACCCCCTCCGCGAAACGGTTCCAAGCCAGATGTTTTTGCTCCGTCGTACACGGTCCTCTCTCCGCATGTATGGCGTTGTTGTGTAGAGAATCACGTAGATTCGGGAGGGATCGGAGCACCCTGCCGCTGTGGATGGCATCGAGACTTACTTGCCCCCGTTTCCGGTTCGCACACAACATAGTATTACACATGTACCACATGAAAGAAGATATTTCTGTGTTTGTTTGCCGCGGCGTGCGGTTATTTTGTAAAAAAGCAGCGTATGTATGCATACATTTTGTGTCATCAGCATCTATCATCTCCGCGTCGTGCGTTGTTCGAAGTGCGCGCGTGTGCGTGGCAAACTGCTGTTGTGGGTGCCGATGCCGTGCACATTCATTCTGAGCTTGTAGGCCAAAGAGGCCCGGGTTGAGTGAATCAGGAAATCTCGGCCGTGCGTGGTCCATGGGGGCTCCGTGATATATCTCGCGGTACATTGATGCTGGCGCGTACTCCTTTGAAAACGACAGTAAAAGGCAAGCTCTCGATCTACGCGTTGCCCCCCAACGGTTTCATCGCGCCAGCCGGAGCACGCGCATAGATAGTCCGGGAGGGGGACTAAAGCAGTGTACGCGCCGCTGGGAGCCAAGAAAGTGAGTCTTGAACGAATCGAAATACAAGGAACCATAAGAACAAGGGTGCTAAGCGAAGAATCATCCGCTAGAAGAGCGCTCTCGGGCATGGTCATTTCTAGAGAAGGGTCATCACGTACAGTCAGTCGTGGCGAATCACGAATCATAGTATTGCGACATTTCTTTCAGTACCCAACAAACAAGTGCGTCCAGGCTGATGCCTTGTCCGCCGTGTTGCTCCAGCCATGGCGGAAAGACGAGACACAAGTTACACCCGGCATCGGCTGGAAACCCCATCGCAGCAGTGACAAAACCACTACGCCCCCCCCCGTGGCTCATCAACAATAAACGGTACCCTGGTCTCCTTTCAACAACTTGCCCATGAAATAATACTGGTAGTACTGGCAGTAAAAGACATGTACCGCCCAACAGCACAAAGTAACAGCAAACAACAACGGCAGTCACGCTTGCCACCAAGTACGTGCGTGTTCTCCTTCTCTTGCGTTCTCGCGTTTGATGTGCGCGTGACAAACGAAACACAACACAAAAAACTTGTTCTCCACAGACGCTCGAGACGCACCAGGGTGCCCTCCAAAAAAAAACACAGAGACAGTTCAGAGCGAAAAAAAAAAAACTAAGAAAACTGGGAAAGCCCGAAACCTTGGATATTTTCAACATCCACCTCGCCCGTTACACCTCCCCTGTGTCGGTTACGCACACACAAAAGAAAAGGCGTGGGGATCATCAGCCGACGTGGAAAATTCCATGTCTACCCCGATGCCAGTGGAGCATCGTATGCATGCATGCTTCTATCTCTTGTCCTCGGTAGGAGTGTGAATACTCCAAAACCGGCAATCGGTCTGACAACAAATGTCTCCGATGCACCAACGCGAAAGTATCTCTACTTCGCTGACCAACAAATCACACGGTTTGATGACTGATGAATCAGCCGACCAGGTGGCGGCGCAGTCTGCGGGGTAAAAATTTCAAGCGACAACCGAAAAAACAAATAACTGACCGATTGTCGGCCAAAGCCGCTACAGCGACGGGCGAGGGGCAGCGGCAATGGTGCAGACTTTGGGGGGGGGGGGGGGGGTACCAGTGAACAATAAAACAAATCACTTAGCCGCCGACTGGTTAGGGGCGACGGCAAACGCGACGCGCTTGTGTCGACTTGTTCACTCATCCGCGTATGGAAATGCGCGCGTGTAGTGGATCGTACGCACATGTGCCGGTTGGGGACGTAGGCCCTTTTGGTCCACCGGCCTGTTCCCTCCGCCCATTGACAAAAATTTCGAAGAAAAGAATTCAAGCGTCCCCACGAGTTGAAAATTGACAAAATCGCACGAGCATCATAAGCTCGCAAAAACCAACCATACAGACGGGAACATCGACAAACGATCAAAACATCAACCGCTAAACAAGGAAGAGCGCTCTGGTGTACCAAGGGCGTCTTGATTAGTATACATGCCGCTCCTGGGATAAACTCATCTACTCCTCCCTCGTCGGCAAAAGACGATGCACGCACGGCACTGGACCAACCGAATGTCAAAGCTCAGCTCGATCACTCTCCGACAAACAGGATGACGCAATCAAATGATCACGTTTCCGAGGAGTCCGCCACAAGACAAGACGGTTCCAACGCATCATCCATCTCCGGCACCACCGTCACCCCGTTCCAGCAGGGGTATGCTATCTTATAATGCAGCCTGCGGTAAGTAGCCGATCGGTCGCCCGCCTCGCATCGCGAACTGCTGCTCTCCTCGCTAGCTCATCTCCCTCCGCTGCTGCTCTCCTTTTGGGCTGCTGCTCTCCTTTTGGGCTGCTGCTCTCCTCAGCTCATCTCCCTTCGCCTCCCGCTCTCCTAGCTCATCTCCTTCTCCTGGAAGAGGGTGTAGGCCTCATTGACCGCCTCGAAAACTCGCTTGGCGATCAAGCGCTCCTCCGGTCCCAGCGAGCCGCACTTGTCCGGGTGCACGAGGAGCATCGCCTTCCGGTAGGACAGCTTCACCTTCGAGGGCTGGATGATGTCGCCCATCGACACCGACTTCCAGCGGTTCCCTTCCCACAGCACCTGCCGCAACGACGTGTCCAGCAGAGGGCGGGCGGGCGGTCGGGGGAGCGTTAGCGGAGAGGAGAACGGCCAGACCGAGAGAGAGAGAGAGAGAGAGAGAGAGAGAGAGAGAGAGAGAGAGAGAGAGCGACAGAGAGAGAGCGACAGAGAGAGAGGGAGAGAGAGAGAGAGAGAGAGAGAGAGAGAGAGCAACAGAGAGAGAGCAACAGAGAGAGCAAGGCGAGCGCGCGCTGGAGGGGGGGGGGGCTACGCACAACGTGATTGGTTGGAAAGCAGTCAGGGGAGGGGAGAGGGTGGCGGGGAAGGGGGTTTCGAGAACGCCGAGAAGGCAGCTTTTCCTACCCTGAACGCACATCTCTCACTCACTATCTCTCTGTCTCTCTCTTGCCCTTTCTTTCTCTCCTCTCTCTTAACACATAAGTTACCAAGATGTTGTCACACACCTTCTGTCGCACAACCTCTGCCCTCTGCATCTCTCGCCCTCCCTCCCTCCGTGCCTACTCACCAAGTGCATGGTGGACAAGAGCGTCCTGACGTTCCTCTTCTTGCCGTGGTCCTCCGCCCAGGACGTGAGCTTCGCGTCGTGCTTCACTTTCGCCGCGTCCATGGCGTCTTGGTCCTTAGAGGCAGCCTCATCGATACCCTAGGGAAGAAAAGCGCCGTTGGCGGGCGGTCGAGACAGGCATCCAATGAAAAAACAAGGGTGTTGTAGAAACGCATGCTGCGCCTCGCTGATTCTATTCTCCGGATTGGAAACAAAGTAGGGCTTGCGCGATGGGTAAGTAACGCTCAGCCTGCCCCTGTGCTTCATCCTTCACAACAGACTTCGCCGCTCACCTGAAACAACAAAAAAAACTACTTCATGTCGGGCAATATTTACCGTGTTGCCGTCGATGGATGAGATACCCTACCCAACTCCCACCGACCCACAAGCCGTACAATACGCTGCTGTCAAACACAAGGTGTTGACCGTTAAAAATATTGTCTTAACAAAGGGAATACAAGACTATTGGTGCGTGAGCGCAAGAGAAATGATAGCTAGATATACCTGCCCGTCTGTTTGAGGCTGGGAACCATCCTCTATGCGATCTGGATACGCGAGTGAAGGAATGGTCAAGAGGTGAACATAGCCCCTGTCGGCGCTAAACATGCGGCAAGCGCCGTTTCGCATCTGATCGAACCCACTGAACCGTAACATGCGTTAAACACACAAAAGTCGTCTTAGTGTTGTACAAAAAAATAAATATGAAAAATAAATAAACTAATCTGAAGCAACTCAACATGCTTGGACTTGCCAGACATGGACCATTGCACTACAGCAGTACAACACGTCGAGCAACTGTTTCGAGTGTCGACCGTACTGGACCACCCCGCCCCTCACGGTCACAGACAGGAACGAGCCCATCGATCGACACCGGGCGAAGCCTAGTCGCACCGAAGCGCTAAATTATTCACGGGAAGCATGCGCTCTTCTTCTGCAGCAAAGCCCCCAAACCAGGAAGCCAGGGAGGAAGCGCACACGGGACATGCCTTAAAAAATCGTTTGTGGAAGGCAAAAAACATCACCGAAGTAACAGCGCCCAAACAACAATGTTGTTCAAAGCCCGCCCAAATAACCAAGCGTCAACACCGAAAGCACACACGGCGGGAACCTTTTTCAGACTCAGGAGGAGGAGCAGAACAAACAAACACACCTTCTTGAACTCCAGCGCCTTCTCCACGTTCGCCTTCAGCTCCTCCTCCCTCTCCTGCACCTTAGTCTTCACGTAGGCCGACTGTCCCCCTGCCCCAGCGGCGGCAGCGCCACCCCCCGCTCTCGGGCTGTTAAAGTTCATCAGCTCCGGCCCACCCGCGCCCGCGCCGGGACGCGGCGGCGGTGCCGGGAGGGACACCGAACCCAAAACCAACAGAGGCATGAGAACACAACACCGT